TTCCTGCTACGAAAAAAGGCCCTGGGTTTTGACAACAAACAAGGTAAACAGAATAAGAAGCAAAAGGTGGGTGTGGCTGGATAACCACACTTCTGGTACAATGGGGGTGTGGCCTAATGTGCTAATGAGCTGTGCTGTCAGGGGTGTGGCCTAATATGCTAATGAGTTCCTGCTGTTGGGTGTGGCCTATTATGCTAATGAGTTCCTGCTGGGCTTTTTCTACAAAAAGAGTCCTGTGAAAGCTTATGCCCAGAATTAAACTTTGGTGGTCTTAGCCAGTTTGGTGTATTTTTCAAGTTTATTACGGTCATAGACCAGAATAATAGAAGACAAGTAAATACAGTTACAGGAGCAGTAAAATTATAAAATATATCGGCATCTAAAATTATAAATAGGATCTAAAAACTTTAAAATACAGAAATAATAGAATCAGAATTTTGATTAAAAATTAGGTTTAGGCCTATCTGTCCTTTATCTCTTTCCTAGTTTGGTAAGCCAACCAACCAAATTTGGCAACCATTCTAGTCAACTTTTGATTATCTCCTGCCAGCATAATTGACAAAAGTATCCTTCTATTACGACCTGGAAAGGAGTTAACTATAGGCTTGATCAAAACTTCCCTGATATTATGATATATAAGACAATCGAAAATTACATGTTCCAATGTTTCATCAGATCCCATCCCACATATACAACTTTTCCTCAATGATCTAGTAAATCTGGCCTCCATTATGGTGTAGTGGTTAGCTGCGCGGACTCTAATCTGGGAGATCCGGGTTTGATTTCCCACTCCTCCTCTTGCATCTGCTGGATGACCTTGGGCAAGCCATAGTTCTGGCACAGCTGTTCTTGAAAAAGAGCAGTTTCTGTCAGAGTTCTCTCAGCCCCACCCACCTCACAGGGTGTCTATTGTGGGGACGGGAAGGGAAAGGAGTTTGTCAGCCGCTCTGAGACTCCCTTGGGTAGTGAAGGGAGGGGTATAAATCCAATCTCTTCTTCTTCTTCTTCTTAAAGGTGCCACTGGACTCACACTTCATTCTGTTCACTATACATAGATCTAGGCAGTCAGCCGTGTTGGTCTGAAGCCGTAGAACAAATTTAGAGTCCAGTCAGGCACCTTTAAGACCAACAAAGGTCTATTCAAGTGCACACACACTTTTTCAAATACAGTGGAATGGGAGGTGAGGTTCAAACTAATAGACGGGCTGAGCAGAGAATTAACATGTAACATGATGAAGATGTTTTAAGCTATGCAAAAGCAGAATTAAATAACCTTTGTAGGTGCCACTGGACTCTAAATTTGTTCTATTCACTATACAGTTAGTTGTTGTAACTTTTCTGGGCTGTATGGCCGTGGTCATACAGCCCGGAAAATCTACAACAACTAATGAACTCTGGCCGTGAAAGCCTTTGACAACACTTGCTGTTGCTGTTGTTCAGTCGCACAGTCCGACTCTTCGGCTCCACATCATGCCACGCCCTCCTGTCCTTCATAATCCTCTGGAGTTTGCTCAATTTCATGTTCGTTGCATTGGTAACACTGTCTAACCATCTCATCCTTTGCCGTCCCCGTCTTCTTTGACCTTCAGTCTTTCCCAGCCTCAGGGTCTTCTCCTCCAGTGAGTGCTCCCTTCTCATTGGGTGGCCAAAGTATTTGAGCTTCAGCTTCAGTCTCTGGCCTTCCAGGGAACAGTCAGGGTTGATTTCTTTTAGGATTGACTGATTTGATCTCCTGGCAGTCCAGGGGACTCTCAAGAGTCTTCTCCAGCACCATAATTCAAAAGAATCTATTCTTCGGTGACAACACACTATACAGTTATTTTTCAAAATTTCCTGGGTGATGAGCAAGCGGCCGTGCCCCTTTTATTCTGGCAGCTGCTTAAGAGCAAAAAGGATTCTGCGCCCCCAGTTACACTGGAGATGTTTAAATCTGTATGTGCGAAACCTTTGGACCTGTCTGAGCTCAGAAGGCTCTTTCTGTCCTGTGTCAGAACCCACAGCCAACAACAAAGTAGATGCATTCAGGAACGGTTATACTTTTATTGCAGAGCTCAAGTGGTTAAGACACTGAACTGCAGGCTGTGGAAGGTCAGTAGTTCAGCAGTTCGAGACCCGGGTGCCGCATGATGGAGTGAGCTCCCATCTCTAGTTCCAGCTCCTGCCAACCTAGCAGTTTGAAAGCAAGAAATTGCAAGTAGATAAATAGGTACCACTTTGGTGGGAAGGTAACAGCGTGCCGTGCGCCTTGGCGTTTAGTCATGCTGGCCACATGACCACGGAAACGTCTTCGGACAGCGCTGGCTCTTCGGCTTTGAAACGGAGATGAGCACCGCAACCCTAGAGTCAGATTCGACTGGCTTCGAGCAAGGGAACCTTTACCTTTACCTATAGATGCAGTAACATAGGCACTGTTAAGAATGGCGGCGGCCCCATAGGCATAATAGGATATAGGATATTCACAAGGGGGGACCCGCGATACTCGCGGGGGGCAGTCTCTCTCTTTCCCCCGTTCTCTCTCTTCCCCCCAGTCTCTCTCTCTCTCTGTCTCTCTCTTCCCCCCTTCTTTCTCTTCTCCCCCAGTGTCTCCCCCCTTCTCTCTCTTCCCCCCCAGTCTCTCTCTCTCCCTCCCCCCCTTCTCTATCTC